CTCTTCTAACTTTTTCTGTTCACCAGCCAGTTGGAACTCAAGCGACACAACCTAATGCATCCCATCACAGCATTTATTACGACAACACCCCCCCGTCGGAACAGAGCCCCATCACCCTGAACAAGGTAAGCTACGGCACAGGCTTTCGGCGAAAGGAAGCACGTCACAAGAGACAGGGAAATGATGACCAAAGGATATAAGCAAGGATAGAAAGACAAGAATAAGGTTAAGTTATTTCTCTCTTGATCCCTCTCTCAATATTCCCTACTTCTTCCTCTACTAATTCTCACGCCGGAGGGTTCACTGGGGGACTGCCCCGTTCCCTTTTGGGCTTGCATGCAGGTCATTTGACGAAATCATCACCCCGAACCGGAACTTGAAGAGCCTGGACCGGTCCGACCCATTCACCCGGGAAGAAGAACGTTATCAAGCTTAACCAAACGTTGAGACTAAATGAAAATCATGTCAATAATAGCTTTTGAATACATTATTTGATTTATATATATATATATATATATATTTCACGTAAATGTAAGTATTGGTATTTTAAGAAAAATCATTATACCATATAAAAAGTGAGCGATGAAAGTGTGCGATATAGACCATGTTTGGTAGAGTTGTAAGAAAGTGATTATAAATTATAACTTAATAGATTATAACTTATAACTATGAATATAAGATGTCAACCTGTTTGGTGCAGTTATGAGATTATGAATTTAAGCAGTAGAGTAATGTTTAGTTGATAAGCCGTAAAATAGCTTTTTACAGTATAATTATCCTTTTTGCCCTTATATGATATAAAAATGATAATTTTGTCTCAATTTTAATTTTAAAAAATTATTTCATTAATAAAAGTTAATATAATTACTATTAAGAGTCATGATAGAGACCTCCTCTAATCACCACCCCCACAACCCCACAGACACGTGATGGGTGGTGATTGGAGGAGCAGAAAAAAAAGAAAAAAGAAAAAGAAAATGTAACCAATGAGAGAAAGAGGGGGTCAAAGGGGGCACGAAGAACCACCGTGGCCGCCACCCCTTGATCGACGTAGGTAGCCCTGCCACCAACCCCCTCCCCATCACCGCCTGTAGGGTGACCCAAGTTTCTTGCTGCCCCGACGCCTTGTAACACGAGAAGAACTCGTCCTATCGTCATGGCCTCCCCCCATTCGCCTTAGGCCACGCACTCGCACAGGCCAGCAGAATCTTCCACGCATTGGGCATCAATTGCCCCGGCTCTACCTCTAGGCGATTTAGCACGTCAACCACCACTTGAGGCTGTGGCAGCCTCAGCCCCCCTTTTAGTGCCTCCTCGTACAAGGAAAACTCCCCTGGCCTCACAGTAGACGGCCTTTCCCTTGATGTTGGCAGCCGTAACTCTACCTCCGCCGGAATTTGGTACCGTCCCCTAATCACCTCCAAATCCGCCGCCGTGAGTGTGGATCTATCCGCCTTAGTGTGCCACTGATCTGGCTCTACCTGGCTTAGTGGCTGTGGCGCCAATACCAGGACCGACGCCTGCGATTCTCCCACCGTTTCCCCCACCATTCGCACCTCCGTCCTGTATCGCGCTGCTAACTCCTCCGCATCATCATCCCCCAGCGGGTCCACCCTCATATTGTCTACTTCTTCTTGCGCCATTTCTAGGGTTTGCTTACAAAACACTTCTGACGCAGACGCAAGGAAGTTGAGAGGATGTTACACAAATATGTCGTACGCAGTGAAAGAATTAACACTTGGATATTTTGAGTTTTTGTAAAAAGGTAGGTGAAACGCATTATACTAAAAACCCACGGTTTTACCCGTATCCCATGGATCCACATTAATTTTCGCCCGTTTCAAAACCTTTCAAATCAACCGCCAAAACCGCCTTTTCAAAACCCCCCTCGTGACCTCCTCCCGCTCGGCCACCCTCGCGGTTGGCACGCCTCACGGTCGACCCCTCCCGCTCGGCCACCCTCGTGGTCGGCACGTCTCACGGTCGACCCCTCCAGCCCGGCCACCCTCGCGGTCGGCACGCCTCACGGTCGACCCCTCCCGCTCGGCCACCCTCGTGGTCGGCACGCCTTACGGTCGACCCCTCCAGCCCGGCCACCCTCGCGGTCGGCACGCCTCACGGTCGACCCCTCCCGCTCGGCCACCCTCGTGGTCGGCACGCCTTACGGTCGACCCCTCCAGCCCGGCCACCCTCGCGGTCGGCACGCCTCACGGTCAGCTTCTCCCGCTCAGTCACCTTTGCGGTCGGCACGGCTTCCAGTCGGCCTCTCCACTCGGTTCACACTTCTCTTCCTTATTACTATTCCCTTCGTTGGGCTAAAGCTGTACTCGGAAATGGGGGACTACTGACACGGATAGGCCCACAAGGCATACGGCCCACAGCAAACCACCCCAAACCCATCGCTTGGGACCAATGGCATAACCCGGTTGGCAAAGCCCAAGACAACTGGAGGCCATCTAGACATGGAGGGCCAATGGCATTTGGGCACATGGCAGGTGGGACACGGGCCACATCAGCAGACAAAGATCTGCAGAGTTATTATCACAACACATCACCATTAATGCATCCCATCACAGCATTTATTACGACAACACCTCCCCGTCGGAACAGAGCCCCCTCACCCTGAACAAGGTAAGCTACGACATAGGCTTTCGGCGGAAAGGGGGCACGTCACAAAGGACAGTGAAATGATTACCAAAGGATATAAGCAACAAGAGAAGCACAAGAATAAGGTTAAGCTTTTTATCTCTCTCTTGATCCCTCTCTCCATATTCCCTACTTCTTCCTCTACTAATTCTCACGCCGGAGGGTTCACTGGGGGACTGCCCTGTTCCCCTTTGAGCTTGCATGCAGGTCATTTGACGGAATCATCACCTCGAACCGGAACCTGAAGAGCCTGGACCAGTCCGACCCATTCACCCGGGAAGAAGAACGTTATCAATAATAATGTTGGAATGAGTAGTTACATTTCAATTGTAAATTCATTTTCTTATATGTAAAATTTAATAGAGTTAATTATACCAAGATTCTTTTAATTATTAATAACTATTATTTTATTCCTTTCGTTTATCAATTCGTACCTATTAATTCCTTTAACTATGAAAATTATACAAATGTATTCATTTTGGGAGTAATCCGAAGGGGGTAAAAGCGAGGGAATAAAAATATATGCATTTATAAATTAAGAAGTGAAGAAATAAGTAATAATCAGTTAATGCTGGTGTAAATAGCCCAATTTATAAGGTGATTCTGGGTAAGCCAATGATGGGTAGAGGATGCTCCGTCGTGCGCATTGAAAGAATAGAATAGGGAGAAATTCTACCATACATATTCTTCTTATATATATATTTTTAAATCATGATTGATTTTTTTTTTTTAGTAATGATCATATTTTAATTATAATTCATGAGATCTTTAATTATGAGTGATATTATTAGCACTCAATCTATTATTTTGAACTCCTCATTTCTTTAGACCCCCACTTATAAGTTTTGAAATCATTAAAATTTCTTTTCTCATCTTAAATAATACTAAAATTATCATTGTAAAAATATTCTACCCATTCAATTGAATGCATACCCCGACATCCCAAAAAAACCTCTCTTCCAAAACCTTTAACAAAACCCACAAAGAAGAAAAAGAGCCAAGTGTAATTACTGTCTCTGTCGCCTCATTCTTTTCTTCAATTTAACTATTGTCACAGTTGGTATGCTCTCTCTCTCTCTATATATATATATATATGCCGCTTCATCCTTTTCTTCAGTGATTAATGTTCAGTAACTTGTTTCCGAACAAATAATAAATGTTCGGTTACTGGTTCTCAAACAAATAAACAATATTTGGCCCTATGTTTTAGAATTTCAATAATATGTTCGGGAGTTCAGTCCCGAAAAAATGACGAACACATTTTATTATTTTTGTCATTTTTTTAAAAAAAAACTTTTCTTTATAAAGTTAATCTCCTTTGAGCTAAAAACATCATCAAAGTTATGAACCTTCTCTGAACTTTTATTGTTGTACTCCTCTTGTCTCATAGAGTTGTGGTTGCTGAAAAAACTTTCACTCATTGTCATTGCTGGAAAAGTGTAGGTAATCAAATAGTTGCCATTGTTACTGTCGAAATATTGCCGTCAAAAGATTTTTAAGTTTTTGAGGGTAAGTAAGTTTTGAAGGTAGAATTTGGAGAAAATAGATGGGTGGTGATGGAGATTGATGCTCTTATAAACTTTAATTCATGATATAGTCGGTGTGTGGATTTAATTATGAGATAGGGTGTTCCAAAATTAATAATATCATTTTTAATAATTTTATTTAAAGTTATTATTGTAATAAAAGAAGGCTAAAAATTGAGGGGTTCAAAATAATTCATAAAATATTAATAACAGCACTCTTAATTATACCTTATGTATTGTTTACTCATAACTTTTTTATTTTTGTAATTATGATTAAAAATGATAAAATTATTTTATTTTTTTCTTTAATTATAAAGTGTACATCATTGACTTTTCCATTATATATATAGTCTGTGTACCGTCCACCATGCTAGCGCTTCAGCGCGCAGACACTGCTAGCAATTTGTCTATCGTCTTCTTTCTCTGCTTTTTACTGCATGAATGAGGTGAAGGTAATTTCTTACCGCGAGGCATGAGATTTTCGTTAAAATTTTATGAGTTTTGCAATTCCTCCTTAATGAGAGATAAGAATCAAAAGTCCAATTAGTGAGGTGTGCATTAAAAAGGCAATGGATTATGAATTTTAAAAATGGACTTCTGGAGAGAAAACAACAGGGAATAAAAATATGCATGAAAAACAATTTTTCTCATCTCTCTGCGAATTCCTCTCCAAATCAAAAGATTAAAACACAAGCACAGCATTCGTGAAGTGCAAAAGTTAAGGCCAACTTTTGATAAATTACAAGAAGTTGAGCAACATACTCTTAATTGAAATTTAGTTTGAATGTTAAGAAAGTCGGCTCTAGTTGTTACACAAACAATCAGGGGTGAACTCAGAATAACATATTCTAGAGACTTTATCTCAACCATTAATACAACATCTAACATAGAGGAAGAATCATGTTAGGAGAGGAACAGAGGTTTATTACATAAATAATACTAATAATCGATAATCAATAACCCAGGGCAATATTAGATACATGGAGAAATCAAATTTTTCAGTCAATGTTGCATGAAAAGATAATGTTACATACATTCTCACACATCAACGTCTAAATTCCCAAAGGTGTTTTGGCAGGGTGTGTTGGGACTCCACTTGCAAATATGTGCGTGCAGTGCGGTGTGGAGATCTACTCAAAGCAAATGAAGGATTGGCTGTTGTGAATGACAATTCATATATTTATTTCCAAGGTCGTCATTAGATGCCATCACCACCTTGTTCTCCACTTTATTTCCATTGGTCTCCATTGCAGCTATCTGCAAGTTTCACAAGCATGCATGGTGATTAAGCATTCTTTTCTCTGTTTTTCACATACAAGTACTTCAGGTAATAGTATCTCTGTATGAAGGTATTTCTTTTTTCTGTGCATACCTGATTCGCTAGAAGCTTGTTTTCTTCCTGCAGAATTCTTTCCTGAAGAAAAAAGTATTTGGATAAGTAATTCTGAACAGACCTTGTTTTCAGTCATCATATATAGGGGTGACTATTGGTTCAATATTAAAATCCTGGCCTAATAACCTTGAGGTTAGGGGTGAGCAGCGGATATACCGATCCGCCAAAACCGACCGAACCGAACCGATCCGCCGCATTTTGGACGGATGCGTGATGACGAGCGGACGGTTGCGGATTGATTTTCTCCAATCCGCCAATTTGGCGGACGGATGGCGGATTTGAGATTTTGTGGCCGCAACCGAACCGCCAAACCGCCAAATCGTGAGCACCCTTAGTAATTTATAAAACTTTGTATTTTCAATTTGTTTAAATATTATGTTTGTGTTTTCAATTGACAAAGAGTTTAAATATTCTGTTGAAAAAAAGTTTTCAACTTGAATATATTTTTTGAATTGAGAAAAATAAATGTATTATTCATCTATATTTTTTAGTTTTTAAATCTAACTCTAAAAATAATAAATAGAAAATGTGATATATGCTGGTTGGTTTTTGTTTTAAAAAACATATGTAGACACTGCTCTGTTCATGATTTTGGTGGTTTGAATTGTTATTATATTTTAAGAATCACAGATTATAATACTTTATGTAGATGAATCATGCTGTGATTGTAATATGTGGATGAGGCATGCAGTGATCGTGATATTCTAAAGTTTTAAACTTTCTTTCTTTGAATAAGGCATACAGTGATTGTAATACTTTTTTAAGTCATTGACTGTAATACTTTTTTTTTCTTTTTTTTTTAAGGAAGTGCACAAGTTGAATTATGTTGAAAATTTATAAAATTTTAAACCGCCAAACCAATTCGCATCCATCCGCCAAACCGCCAATCCGCTCAATCCACATCCGTCGGATTGGCGGACGGATGCGGATTGATTTTCTTCAATCCGCCAATCTGGCAGACGGATGGCGGATTGGAGGTTCCGTGGCCGCAACCGACCCGCGCCCACCCCTACTTGAGGTTATGGGTTCAAGTCTGAGAGCAACCACTTTGTGCATTATGTCAAATGTTAGGTGTGTATCCAATTTTTTTCCCTCCCAAACATACATTAATATGTACTAACTGGGCGTTGTATAGGGTTTATTTTTTCAAGTCCTCCGAAAAAAGATTCTATATACTTTCACAACACTTGTGCTTCCGAATGTCCATTAAAAGAAACAAATTATATAAACAATATACTCATTAAGTATGGAAGTATTAGATGCACAAGATCATACAATGAGATATAGTTAGCAATATCCTTTAGTGCAATCAAGATTACATGACTATAGCAGGGGATAAGTTTAATCCTTTTACTGCAAATTACCCTGCTAGTTCTCCCATTAAACACCTATAGAAGACTTGGTGCAACATTCTCTTGATAGGGCAGAACGGCGAAAGTTGATTCCACCTGAATGGATCTAATCAGTGTTTTAAAAAGCTCTAGGCGCATCGAGGCGCCAAGGTCACCTAGAGCCTATGTGCCGAGGCGTGAGGCGAGGCGCGTGCCTCACCAAAGTGAGGCGCAAGTTATAAAAGTTAAGTAAAATATTAATATAACACAATTTTCAACATAGAAAGTATTTAATATGTACATTATTAATTTTTTTAATAAGAAGAGAAGAGAAGAAGAAAAAAAAAATTAATTTTTTTAATATATATATTATTTTATTTATTTATTATATTTTTTACATAATGTGTTTTAATTAATTTATTTTATTTTATTTTACATACATGTGTTTATTTTTTTTATTACTATAAATAAGTATATATTATATTTTATATATTATAGGTATTATATAATTATATATATATATATGAATCAAGAGACATGAGAGAGAGAGATCGCGATCGTAAGCCAGACAGAAACGAAAGAGAAGACGGCGAAAGAAGAGAGGAGAAGAGAGGACGAAGCAGAGAGAGAAGAGAAGAAGCAGAAGCAGAAGCAGAGACGAACCTGAAGAAGCTCAGATCAGTCGATGTGGAAGCTCAGATCAATCGATTCGAAGAAGCTCACCAATAGATTTGTATTGTATAAGAGTTTTAATCCTATGTGGCTATTACACAAACACAAAAAAGGTCAGCCCTAGCCGAAGCGCATGAAGCGTGCGCTTTCAGCCTAGGCGAAAGGCCCGTGCCTCAACGCCTTACGTGCGCTTCTCGCAATGCGCCTCGCTTCGTCTACTTTGAGCGCCAACCCTGCGCCTCGCCTCGCTTAGCGCCTAGGCGCGCTTTCTAAAACACTGGATCTGATGGTGCAGATTAGTTCGATGTGGTCTGGTCTGCTACAACATTAGATTTAAATACAGTTTCTAACTCTTCCTAAAAATAATGGAAATTTCTCAACAAATTGCGTCAACATTTTGTAGTCAAAACAAAATGATAAATAAATCTGCATGTAATTGGATAATACTACACTAATGTGGTGGAAAATTAACAGTACTTATTTGAGCGTAATTAATAAAAAAACCAAGCAATTTAACCAATCTTTCTCTTATTAACAACAGTTATCAAAATACAAACCATTATTCACAGCAGCAATTAGAATTAAAATAGATGACACTTTATTTAAAATTATATCTTAACAAGAAGGCATACCCGAAATTGGAAATGTGAGAACATGATAAACATAAACAATCACATACCTTTTCATGAAGAGCCATTATGGACTCCATCATTAGTAGTGTCTGCATAAAAGAAAACTTAATGAGAATTGTAACATAATGTGTCCAACTTGCCTTGTTTGGGAATACATGATTTTAGTCTAAAAGTCAAAAGTCACTAAAAAAGCCAAAAAAACCAACAAACTATAAAATAAAATAAGTCAAATGGTTTATTTTCTCTCTACTTTTTGCATTGTTTTTTGTGTAAAAAGTCATCCCCAAACATACTAGTTTTTTTACCTCATATTTTGGCAAAAAAGTCAAAAAATTACTAAAGTAGTCTATTCCCAAACAAGGCAATTTATATAACCCAACTTTTCATTTAACAAGAAAAAGTAATATCAATAATAAATCAAATAAATATATTAGCTTCTACAAACAAAGTGGCGGTCCATGACATAGAACCATGTTCAACGGTGTACAATCTCTAAATAACAAATTGTTTAAGAGAAATGAGAAATCTCAACAGAGGTAGTTGATTTACTATGCAAATAGAAAGAATTTACAGAATTTTATAATCCTATAAAATACTAAATAGGCAAAAAAGTTGCATCCATGTGACATGATATAGAATTGCCTAAAAATAGATGAAGGATAGATAAACCAAATGAATAAATTGATGGCATTTGAATGTTTCCTAGGATTGCAAAACGAAATACTAAGCCTTGTTGACTTCCACTCTGAACCATGATATTAAATGAATTGATTAAGAATCTCTCTCTTTTTAAAAGACACGACAGGCAGTCAGTGGTTAGACCTTAGAGACATTAGATTCTTTCATGGCACAACTACAAGATAGGATGAGATCTGGTAAGACTTCATCGGAATTCTTTTATACGGTGCTTGGTCACGATGGAGTTTCTTTCTTCCTGGCCAATTGTTTCATTAAAGGTGGCATTTTTATTATCAATTAGTGCAACAAAAGGCCGATTAATGATTTACAGTTTGAGAAGGGTAACTAAAGTTTGACTCATTGGTGAAAGAGGATATTGTTACGATCAAAGACACCCAGAGAATTATCTTACACACACAGAGAACACAATATTTACGTGGTTCGGCCCAATGCCTACATCCACGGACAGAAATGAGAATTATCACTAAAATGGAGCAAAAATACAATTACAGAGGAGGAGATGAAACTCACTCAACTCACAGCTCTCACTCTCCAATTTCTGATGATTCAAACCCCTCCTCACTCATCTCAATTTATAACCAAGAGAGGAGGAGTAGGTGAAGTGCTAGCCATAATTGGCCAAGGTAGTGCCACCCTCACTATCTTCCTTTAGTGAGTTGGTGTAGCCCTCCACCACTTTCTTTTGCAACATGGTGCTACCTACACTATGTGAATGGTGGGCTCATTACCATGTGGGTAGTGGATGGAGCCAACAATTCTCCCCCTCCACGCCCACATGGACAACTGACTTCTCAGCTTGGACTCCCAAGACACAGCTCCCCCTGATTGGATGCCCTGTACCCCCTGCTCGGGATACCCTTGCATTACCGTGCAACTCCTTGCATGATGAACACGGGAGCAACTAGAAAACTTTAGAGTGTGACACATCAACATCCTCAATTTTCCTTGCTCGGAGCTTATTTCTGAACAACCAGCCTTTGCTTTCTGCACTTTAGAACAACTTCCCAGCGATCTCATACGCCCGTTGTCTGTGCTGCAATCCCTGATGTTCGGTTCAGTCTCACTTGTACGTCCGTACTGATGTTTGACAGTTAGCCCTTCTGCCAAGACAACTTCCATCGGTCTGTACAAGTTATCACTATGCAACTCCGTGCATAGTGCTCGCACCCCCTTATTGGAGTGCATTGCAACGCTCACTTTGCGACTCGAGATTGCATCCCTCCTTTCCATGCATCTTTTGAGAGGTTGCAAAATGTCTCTAACACGGAAGCAAAAGAAACTCTCTTCTTCACCGGCATAGTCTCTATAGACTTGGTTTCTTTGCTCTGAACTTTCTTCAAGATTGGCTTCACTGGCTCAGCTCTGTGCACCTTTGAACTGCCTCCTTGTGTTCCCGTGCACCGTTTTCGCCATTCCTGATGAAAGCCTTGCTCAATCATACGCTTTGGTTGCGTATGTTCTCTCTTTGTACCCTTCGACTGGCATTTGACAACACTCATCTTTGTCAAAACTTCTCCTTCCAGTCTGTACAATTTGTTGCACAATTTGCCTTGCAACAATTCTTTATCACCTCTGTGTACATGAAGAACCCCGCCACTAGATGAGAAACAATTTCCTTTTAGATCTAGCATACTCAGGGAGATTAGATTCCTCCGTACTCCTGGCACATGTCGGACCTCAGATAAAATTACTTTTCTTCCATCCTTAGTAAGGAATCGCACTGTCCCTATGCCGACAACTCTGTTCACTGTGTTGTTGGCCATCCGGATAATGCTACCACTGACTCTTCGGTAAGTGGAGAAAAGCTTCCTATCCGATATGTGGAACGTACACCCTGAATCCAAAATCCAGCCGGGTGTTTCCAACTCTGACGAGATTGTAAGCATCACCTCTTCATCGTTAGAGGAATGCACTGCAACTGCTGTAGTTGAGGGACCTCCGTGTCCCTTAGCCTTCTCTTTGGCTTGTCTGTCCGCCTTCTTCTCTGGGCAATCTCTTATTACGTGATCCTCTTGATCATAGTAAAAACACCTCCTCGTGTTGTCCTGTCTGGACTGTGAACGCCCTCTGCTTTTACTTCTTCCTCTACCTCTGCCCCTTTCTCTATCTTCTACCTCTACTTTCTGTGACAAGGGCATGAGACTGCTCTCCGTCCATCTCTTTCTTCCTTGCCTCCTCGTTGAATAAGGCGTCTGTGACCATCCCCATGGTCAGCTTCCCTTCGGGTGCAGAATTACTGAGAGAAACCACCAACGTCTCCCAGCTGTCTGGTAAGGAACTGAGTAATAATAATGCTTGCATCTCATCCTCCAACTCCATTTTGATTGATGCAAGCTGGTTCACAAGGCTGTGGAATTCACTGGTGTGTTCAGCAACAGACACACCATTCTTCAGCTTCAAGTTTATAAGCCTTCTCATTATCAAGGCTTTGTTCCGTGCGGTCTTGGACTGGTACATGCCCTCCAATTTCATCCATAGGGCATAGGCGTCTGTCTCTTGGGCAACATGGTGGAACACACTGTGGTCAATCCACTCACATCTTTTTATAAAAAGATAAAAAATACACTTATTTAAATCATACCAAACAACTCCTTAATCAACTAAACAAACAAACGTGATCGTACTAGAATCTACTCCATTTTAATTATAAAAACAAACGAGACCCAAAGTTGGGGACCAAAAGAGAGCCTCTCTTTCTAGAGAGAGAAAGCTCCCCCCGGTGGTATTTTAGTGATGATCTTCTGGTGCAACTCAGGCCAGTAAAGCCGCCTGTTATGCTTGACGGTGGAGTTTTCTTCGTGTTATGGTTCGAGTGGCCATAGCTGAAGATGGTTTTAGTGGGTTCTCCGGTAGTGGGTGGTACTGTCGCTGGGTTTCTAGCGCCGGTTTTGGCTTCTTGCTCCTTGCTTGGGGTGGTTGCCGCCGTGTTGACTGGTTTCACTGGTCATGGAGGTGGCTTCTTGTCACCGTGTTATCGTTATCGGTGGTTTGCCACCGGATTGTTTTCAGCTCCAGCGTCGTTGCTACAGTGAGTGTGAGTGCTGTAGCGTGGTGTAGTGAGTTCGATGATCTCGTGAGCTACGGGTGGCGACATGTAGATGACGCGTGGGTTTTCTGTCCTGTGGTCGTCGTTCATGGCTGTCAGCGTGTATTGTCAATGGGTTTCTCACCGACGGTGCATCTGTATGGGAGTTTGTGGTGTGCAGTTGAGTGGATAGTCATATGTGTTAGGATCAAAGACACCCAGAGAATTATCTCACACACACAGAGAACACAATATTTACGTGGTTCGGCCCAATGCCTACATCCACGGACAGAAATGAGAATTATCACTAAAATGGAGCAAAAATACAATTACAGAGGAGGAGATGAAACTCACTCAACTCACAGCTCTCACTCTCCAATTTCTGATGATTCAAACCCCTCCTCACTCATCTCAATTTATAACCAAGAGAGGAGGAGTAGGTGAAGTGCTAGCCATAATTGGCCAAGATAGTGCCACCCTCACTATCTTCCTTTAGTGAGTTGGTGTAGCCCTCCACCACTTTCTTTTACAACATGGTGCTACCTACACTATGTGAATGGTGGGCTCATTACCATGTGGGTAGTGGATGGAGCCAACAGATATGACTGTCATACTTCCCCACATTGAGGTGGCTAGGAGATCTAGAGGACATGACTGACATACTTCATCACATTGGTACTATTGTTTGGGTGGATATTTTGAAAATCTTTTGTTGACCTACCCTTACGGGCTGTGTAAGGGATAGTTTTTATTTTGTCTCCAATTTTGTATCAGATTTTTGAGCATATAGAATGTGTTCATGGTCCACGTACAGTTTATATGGGGATCTTGAACACATTTAGACCATGTTTGTTTGGGCGGATTTGATTAGGTTGGATTAGCATTCCAATGACTAATAGTCCTAGGACTACAAATATTTTTAGATTGTGTATCCTATCTTATGTTTGAATTGAGTTAGAATTATAAGGGAGGGAAACTTTGGCTTAGTCCACCAATTTATATCCCACCCTCCTTTGTGGGATTGAATAGTCCATCATATGTGGGATACCATATCCGGATGAATTGTTAGTCCAACTTAGAAAATATGAAGAAGAAGAACTCCGAAAATATGAGGAAGAAGGAATATATTTCTGTTATATTCAAAACTTCTTATCTTACAAGACCAAATGACACTCCTTATATAGGAGATATTACAAACATCATCATAACCCATTATATGCCACTTACATATTATATATTACCACTATCTACCACTATCATATTATATACATGCCACTATCTACCACCAACACCACTATCATATTCTATATATGCCACTATCTACAACCAACACCACTATCATATTCTATACATACCACTATCTACCACCAACACCACTATCATATTCTATACATGCAACTATCTACCACCAACACCACTATCATATTATATGCATGAACACAATTTCCAGCAGTCCATATTTCAATTGTTTAACCAAACGTCGGATTAATAATTTTATTGGACTATTAGTCCAATCCCAAGCTTATGTCTATCCAAACAAATATGGCCTTAAGGAATCAAAATCTGTTTTGGAGTATGACTTTAGTCTGCCTATATGTGTTATAATTCTAAGTTATTTAATTGTTTGGTATATTAATATCCATCCAGTTAATAGCTTTGGATTTTTCAGGTTCTATATTTATCTTGGGTTTGTTAGTTGAAGCTGTTTTTTGTCTCAACTTGTTCTCTGTTTGGCATGCCTTTATAGGCTGTTTTTAGGCCGGTTGTTCTTACTTGTATAGTTGGGGTTAGGGCCTAGGGCATGCCCCTTGTATTTGTGTAATTTTAATGTTTTTAATTAATGTCTTATTCACCCCAAAAAAAAACAGAAGTGGCTAGGAGATCTAGACGGTCTGTTTTGGAGTATGACTTTAGTTTGCCTATCTGTGTTATAATTCTAAGTTATTTAATTGTTTGGTATATTAATATCCATCCAATTAATAACTTTGGATTTTTTAGGTTCTATATTTATCTTGGGTTTGTTAGTTGAAACTGTTTTCTGTCTCAACTTGTTCTCTGTTTGGCATGCCTTTATAGGCTGTTTTTAGGTTGGTTGTTCTTGCTTGTATAGTTGGGGTTAGGGCCTAGGGCATGCCCCTTGTATTTGTGTAATTTTTCTGTTTTTAATCAATGACTTATTCACCCAAAAAAAAAAAGAGGTGGCTAGCAGATCTAAACAGTTAATTACTCGTATTGTTTTGAGGTGGCTTCGCTTGGAGATGTGGATAGTTTTGAATGTGTTGACAATGGTCTATGATTCCTGTGTGTGATGATGAGTTGGTGTAATACTGAGAGTGAGGCTTCCTATTCATAAGTTAAAACTTTTGATAGTTTAGTTGCTTCTATTTTGTTGGATTTAAGAATCATTTCATGTTCATATATTACAGTTTTTTCAGAGAACTACATATCATGTAGATTGATAATTATTTATTATTTGATGCTTTTGATAAAATTGTTGCTTATCCAGAAATGTATGCGTTAGGCAGACAAGATCTTTCTTATCTGAAGTATAAACAAAATCCAAGTATCGATCCAGATTAGGTCTTTGGTCTAACTCTCTTGGACAACCAAATGTTCAAAATCCCAACAAAACAACTCTACAGTCTACACGAGTTCCTCATATCCACAAAGAATTCTCCTCACAATCCACAAGAGACAAAGGGGCTTTTCATCTCTGCTTCCCTACTCGGCCTCCCTACCAACTGTGCAGCAAGCCCACGACAACCCCATCATCATCAAACTCAGGTCCCACAACTCCTACACGCCCTTAAAATCTCACCTGAGCTACGAAAACAACTCTGCATGTAGTACAATAATATTACTAAAGTTCCTGGGAACACTAATAAAAAAGGGAAGAGTGTTTACAGGTCACAGACAAAAATTTTACTGCAGCTTTACAGGATTGATTAGAGGTCATCAAAAAAAATAAAAAAAAAAGGCTATGAAACTAACACATATCTTCAACATATTCAAATTGCTAAATCCACAAATACTTGAGGGGCAAGGAAATTGCAAAACGAGAATCGAATGATTCTTAGATGAAATTTGAAAGTAAGGCCAAGTTTGGCTAAACTAAAAAAGTGCACTTATTTCATCTTTTTATCTTTTTTGGGTCACATCAATCAACATCTCCTCTCTACTTTTTCTACACATAATACAAGAAAAGTCAAAAAGTGTACTTATTTAGTCTTCCCAAACTTGGCCTAAATTGTGATTTACGGTATAGGTTCAAAGCTCTAAATGCCTACTCTGTAACACATAGTACATGCAAACGTTTCATCAGTTCTATGGTAAAATATGAAAATCCTACTTGCACTGCAAATGATGTGGGTTTTTGAGGTCGAGTGAGAATAATGAGACGGGCATTGACCTTTCTAGACTTTATTTGCGTTAATGCAGCATCAAATTCTTTCTCTAGTTGGATGAGGTCAGTCACACTAAGCTGGTCCACATAGGGCTCTTCCAGGTGCCTGTCAGAAAATGAGATTATAAGTCGCTTGATGTCATGCATTATGCTTATTAAGACAGGCCAAAAGTGAATTAGAGAGTTATTGCCTTTTGGTTATTTGTAAAAGCTCTGAAATTGTCCGAAAACTGGCAAACCTGGACTGAAAAATTTAGAATACAGGTTAAATTTTTTGTCAATGGAAAACAAGATAGAAAGACAAATCAATATGCAGATGGATCAAAGATTAAAAAGTTTATAATCCACTGGATAACAGATTGCAAAATAGCCCCTTTGACTAATTTTGAACACTAGTTTAATCATTGATTAGATATTATTGAATTCTAGTGAGACTCATAGGTACCTTCTGTATTACTTCGGCAAAACCTAAACAATTTTGAACACTTGGAATTTTTAGGAGATGCAAAACACAAGATACAAATTAACATGGAAAGATTTTAAAATCATAAATCACTGGTTGTTACATCTAGTACAGATCAGTGTAGAAATATGTGTAATTGTTTGGACAAAAAAGACTGAATTTTACTGGACTATATTCCCCGAGGAAAAAAAAAAATTTATTTTAACTCGACTCTCCACAAGCCAGAAGAAACTGTTGTGCAAAACAGTGCAAGAAAAGATCGGGAGTAGTAACTTAAACCTCATTCAAAGGTAACAGATAAAGGTACTGCAATTACCTCTGCTTCACAATCACCTGTTGAGAACCTTCCTTTTGCCCCAGAGTGGTGATGATATTGCTTGAGGATCTTGGCCATACTGAATCATAAGGACTAGTCAGCTTGATCCTCATCCAAAGTATAAGGTAAATATAAAACATTCCAAATATTATGGTTTGAGTAGATGCACAATGAAGTTTGAATTTCATTAATTTCGCATACATTCAATGCTTCAATGCCAAAAAAAACAAAAAAAAAACTGAAAGATTCTAAACATGTTTCAAATTTATATTCAATGCACTAGAAGAACATGTAAAAACACCCACATGTTTCAAATGCATACTCACATGTTTCAATTTGTATAACGCTTGCCTTAATCTCATTCTGTATAATTTTTTTTTTTCCTATAATATTTCCCTTGGTTTTGGTATAAATACATCTTGTGTTATCTTTTCCAAGTCTCCACATACATGGTCACGATGGGCACTACAACAAGCTAATATCAGACTGTCAAACTAGGCGCAAAATTTTACCTGCAATAAAACGAAAAGTGAACACTGACGTATCATAGAACAGTATTTGCTCAGCCATGGTCATTCACACCTCATTTTCATAGGGTATGCCAAGTAGTGATTAGGAGCACTGCTTGCCCAAGCACCTCTCCAATCTGTCACTTCAACTCAGCAGCAGCAACATAAACTCAATTAGCACGGGTGATTAAGGTCTTATACTACCATCCTCTTTTCCCCTCGTCTTCTCCTTCCCCACCTTTGACAATTCTTGGCCATTGAAGTGCCCACATCTTTCTATACATCTACAACCAAACACCCCCTACACCTAATACCAACATAATAGTAACAAAAAAAGGTGTACTAAATTCCTTTGATTATTGCTTGGTTGTTTCTGTTGTTCAAACTTGGTAATATCTTTAATTAATTTTGTTGATGCTTGTTGGTTGGTTGGTATTTAATTTTATTGAAATCACTATAAGAAACACATTTGTCAGCACAAAAAAAGGTATTGGCAAAAGTCTTGGCTGACAAAAAATGTTACATAGGCAACTCATAAAATAAGGTGTATCGAGAATGTTTTTACTGACACAAAATCACTACGTTAGGGAAAAAAAAGAAAAGAAAAGAAAAAACAGATTACTGACACAATAATTTGTTGACAAAAAGCTTGAACCCATGTAGATGATTAATTACTTCATTGGAAAAGATGGATATAATAGAGGTAGAGTGCCACTTTTGCCGAAGTAAATAACCAGTGGTAAAAAGATGATTAGTAATTGTAATATTTTTATTTATTTTTTAATGCTTATGTCTTTAATTAATTTTGCCCAAGATTTGTAATTGTATTTGTTGTGTGCCTTATCTTTTGTTGGATATTAGTATTTGGAAGCAAGTGAACATGATTTTGTAGCTCCACTCAACTTTTCAAGAATCGAGTTATATTACACGAATAAGAACTTTCCAAAGGCCATCTAAATAAAGAAAGGTTCATGATCTCTATGTTCTCTATGTTTATATAGACCATACACAACATTGATATTTGATCTATATGAAGAGTTTGTAAATCATTTTAATCAATTCACAAATGCAAAACTAAAATAAAATAAAATAAAAAAGAAAAAAAAAGAGTATATTTAGTTAAATAAATTTCTAAACAATAAAATATACCATAAAATTCGTTTAGCGCCTCGATGCACCTAGAGCTATTTAAATAATTGAATACGAGTACAACTTGTTACATATGTATTAAGAAATTTATTTTTAACTTGGAATAATGTACAAATTAGTTAAATTGTTTAGTTCATTAAGATTCAACCTACAATTCACGTTTAACGCCAAAAGAAAAGTATAAATTAAAATTAAATGTCATTATATTAAATAAGTTTGATGGATAAGCATAAAAAAATTTCAATAAAACTAATTTTACCTCTGTATAGAAGAAAATACTATTTCGATTAAGGTATGACTTTGGTATAAAGTAGGAACCCCTGAGGTATGGCAAAAATTAAGAAGAAAAAATTACTCACTACAAATACGGCACATTTGTTAAAATACCCGTGTTTCATAGCTAATCCCTTATTAAAATAAGAGAGGTTAAAGTGAATTTTTTTTAAAGAGTAACGCTAGAAATTCCAAAAAAATCACTCATAAAATTATTCACATTAACGTGGTTGGGTCTTACTTCATTGATTTCTAAATAAATCAACAATTGATATGTTATACCATAGAGGTAAATTTAAGGTGATGTTTCAAGGTGGATGTTGTCCTAAGAGTAATGTCATAAATCCACAAAATATTTCTGACGTCAATGTACATGATATTGGGTCTTCACTTGCTTGATTTTTAAATAAAGCAACAATTGACATGCAATAATCCACATCATTTAAGGTAAATATGAGGTAGTGTTTTTTAGAAATCATAGGCATTTTTGTTTTCGTAAAATATGCATTTAACTAAATTGTGTTATAATGAAAATACTTTTCAACTTCATTTATCAAAATATATATATATTTTGTTCCAATGATGATGCATAGCAGATCTCACTTTCACAGTAAAATTAGGAGAATGATAATACCAATATCAATATATACAACAAAAGACAAAATTGCATATGATTATAAAAACGGTAGATCCGAATGGTAAAACAAAATTCAAATAGCCTACTCCAAATAGTTCGAGGCAATTTTTTAACTAATTGCAATGATAATATCAATAAATCCATCTAACTTATAACAATCAAATCTATTTTCACTTAGTAATGAGTATAACCATCAAACTTAGTGCCTAGAAGCCTATTTTGTACGTCCCCAACTGACTTGAGTAATAGAGAAACATCAACTATTTTTAGTTACTACAACTTGGGATGTTTATTACAACCTAAAGTATTAACTTAAAACATCAAATTTTGTTTGAATAGCATATTTAAAGTCTAATATTGACAAGTTTGAATTGTCATTCCTAGTTAGAAAGCATAGACACAACCAATAACTTCGCATTTGCTTACACTTCTTTAAAACTTGCTATACTGAAATCCATTAGTGAACTTTCTTCTTTCTCCTTACCATTTTTTTTTTGCATGTAGGTTGGAAACTTGCACTCACTCATTGGAGTTCCAGCATTAGATCTTGAAGCATTAGTAAAAGTCAAGAACAATAAAAATCATAAAAAAAATAATAATAACAAAAAATTGGTAACGAAAGCTTCACATCACAAAAGTAAGCATTATGTAAATTATATACAAAAAGTATCTCAAAAAAAAAGAAAAAGGGGCCAATCCAATTAACCTAACCTACTAACAACAATAAAACATTGGCAAAAAAACTAGACACTAATGATTTGTGGCCATGTATACAATAATTTCATTTTAATAGGCTAACCATATGTATTAGTATTATGTTGGTTTTATTTAGTCTCACACCCGAACCAAAGACCAAAAAACCCCATAATATAACACCCATAAATGAGAGTCATATCATATCATAGACCTCTTCCAGCTTTTCCTTCACTCACTACTATTGTCGTTCACCTTCCCTTTCCTTCACCATCATAGATCATTCGCATTCTTTCCAATACCTCATTTCAGCGATGAATTCACTATGGAATCCTTGATTTCATTGATCGCAATTGTGCCCCTTCCTTTATTGTTGCCTATACAACAACAATCTCCATTGTCGACGATATGATGCCCCACAAAATCCACAACGTCAATTTGTTGCAATTGGATTAGCATCATCCAACCATATTTTTCTTTTGTTCCCTTTAAGTGTATTTCCTTTTTTAAATTTCAACAGATTTTTAGACTTACTCACATGGTGCAATCTAAACCAGTGGTTGGATTAGAGTATAAATTACATGAAAGTGAGAAATTTCAATTTCAAGGTTAACACACCAATCTTTATGGAAATGTGAAATTTTGAACTTTCATGAAGAAAATTGTGAAACATTCGTCTCATAAAAGTGTGAAGTTTGACAAGTTTGCCTTTCTTGTTATTTTTTTTTTATCAGCAAAGAAAAATTTCATTTAACAGCATGAAATTAAAGGTACAGGAAGATGACATGCATCGAAAGAGATTCGGAAAGTACAAAAAATACCCCTACTACTGCTACTCGCATCCATACAACCAACCCTTTGGCCTCACCTTTTTTTTAAAAAAAGTTAAGAAGGACTTAACTAAAAACAAAATACATGAAACCCCACAAAAATCAACCCACCAAATCAAAGCATGAAATTTAAAGCATGAAATTTCACTTTGCCTTTCTTGTTATTTAAAGCATGAAATTTCACTTTGAACATATCCAACTTATGAAAGTATGAAATTTGACAAAGATAGATAATTGAGAAACATCATCTCATAATTTATTCTCATTTTAAAATAGTAAAATTTTATTTTGAGGCCATGCCAATTACATCTCACTTCACATTTTTAAACCTTGAAACTTCATAGTTTTTTTATTTTTATTTTTTATACCTTGAAAAGTTTGAAATGCAATTAGATTCCCATGGCTTTCACAATTTGTTAGGGCTTTTTTTTTTTTTTTTCCAATTTTAAAAGATTGAAATTTCACATATTTTTTAGTTCAAATTTGAAATTTTTTTAAAACTAATTTCACATTATACAATGGGACTTTACGTGTTAACAAAAAAAAGTTGGGATCTAATAGTAAACAATTCCACCCATATGGCACTTCCCACTAATTCTTTTTTTTTTTTTTTCCTTTTTTGTTTTTACCATACCATACCCATAAGAATAATGCATACCAATGAGAGCATTGAATAATTTTTTTTTATCATAGAATTACATAACAAATTAATCTAAAATTTTGTCACAAATTGTATGGCAAACATGCCATGATTGTGGAAGACTTTTGGAGTTAGGAGAACCAAGTGAGCCGTAATAAATTCTAGTGTCTTGCATCTAGCACTTCTTGATTCAATTTTGCTACCTTTAGGTTGTGGGGGTCATTTTTTTGTCCTTAAGAGTGTTTCCCTTGAGGATGACAAACTCTAGTGGAGAACACGCAAAAGATGATACTCACCCAAAGATTCAAATGTGGGAAACAATGAAAAATAAATAGAAGAAGCAATTCTTTCTTTCAACACACCTTAGGTTATAAGCAACGATTCAAAATGGTTGAAACAACCTAAAATAGTGAAAGACTATGTAAAGAAGTTCATTTCTTTGAAGTTGGATATGAAGAACATGTCAGAGAAAGCTAAGCTCTTCAATTTCATGTTTGAATTACAAAATTGGCCACAATTAGAACTCCTTAGGTAGGGAGTCAACGACATGCCCTTTACCGTGGCGGCAACTAATGGCTTGTTGACCACAAATTAGTTAGAACTCCACAAGTAGGGAGTCAAAGACTTGCCCTTTGCCATGGTTGCATTGCAACTAATGGCTTTTTTTACTACAAATTAGCCAAGGATTATATATCGAAAACCAATAATCCAAAAGGAAGGGAAAAACTAGGAGGAGGAAAGTTTGGTTTCAAGGAAAGCAAAGAAAGTTCCAAGTTCAAAAAAAAAAAAGGAAACAGGAGAGTTCACAAAGTAAATGTATCCAAAGTCAAATAAGGGTTGCTTCATATGTGACGCGGTCCCCATAAGGGGGAAGGAATGCCCCAAGCGTAAAAAAAATTGAGCATTGTAGCGACCAAAGATAGCAAAGAAGAGTCTTAACTCTGATGGTCCAACTATTGTGAATTCCTTTAAATTGTTGAATACAATTTATGTGAATGAGACCCCTTTTATCAAGTTTGATCCACATTAAATTGTTGTTCGTAGGTACTAATGTGTTGGCTATAATGGAAACAAGTGCCACACACAATACATAAAGGACATGCAATCCCTTGGTTTGAAAGTTGTCCAGACTTAACACAAATTAAGACCATAAACTTTGCTACACGATTGGTGCTTGAAATGAATTCTAGTGCGCAAATCAAGGAGAATGAATGAAATGGACATGTTAATTAGATAGTAATGCTATGACTTCAATGCTTTAATCTCAATGGGTTTCTAATTTTAAAAAAGAATTAGCTTATACAGGCCCGAAGAGAGAGAGAGAACAGTAAGAGCTTCTCTCTCTAGAGATTTCCAGCGACACACCAACGATCACTTTTACACTTCTCTACAATCCTATAGTATAGATTTGAACTTTTAGAGTATAAATCTGGGCTTTTTATGCTTAGAATGGGGATTTTGAGTATTTCTCCCCCCGATTTCGACATAAAATTTTGGATTTTCAACACCCATAATGGTTCCTTTTTCTCTCAACCCTTCTCCCATACTATTGTGGTGTTCTTCCTCTTCAACAATAACTTCTGGCAGTGTCCGAAGTACGGCAATAATGGTAGAGGCAGCGGAGTTGGACAGCGTCGACAGGTACGACGGCAGGAGCGGGTTTTGATGCAGATCTTACTTGGTTTGATGTAGATCTAACTTTCCAAACCACATCTATGAGAAGATCGGTGATTTTTCTAGATCGTTACTGGTTTTTTTGGCAAATTTGTTTTTATTGTTTGTAGTTTGTTGTTTGGCCCTTTAGGGTCTTCTTGTTTTTCTTTTTAATTGTATGTTGTTTGTTTTATTTTAATATAACTGCTTTTCATATTCTCAAAAAAAGAAAAAAGAAAAAAAAAAAAAGAATTAGGCTCATTTTGTTCTTGGTTGCAGTAGGCCAATAAAAGTGCCTTAGAAAATGTCTTTGTCAGAGCATGTAGAGTTGCGAAAATTGACAAAATTGCTAGATGGTGGATTGGAATAGAATTGCTAGACCTAATGAGAGTCACTGCAAAATCCGTGTTCTAAACAACTCCCTATTATGGGTATCCCTCCCCAAATTCTACATGTGGTTGCTAACTCTAATACCAAATGCTATGAAAAAGACAAATGTGCACTTTTTCTTTCAATTTTATTTCTAATTCGTTAAAGCATGTCTCTTCTATGTTAAAGTCCTTGATTGTTAAGCCCAAAGAGCATGCAGATTTCACTTGCCTACCAAGTTATCAATGTCTAACTATTTGTTGTTGTTGTTGTTGTTTTTTTTTTTTTTCTGGATAAAATTTTTTTTTTTTTTTTTTTTTTTTTGAGAACAATTAAATGTCTCACATGAATGGACTATATATGATCACGAGGCACCATAAAACACAACAAAAGAGGTTGTTTACAACTGTTTCATGCGACTGATGGAGATGTAGCATATTCCACCAAATAATCATGAGGTTCATAGTTGGTAATGAACAAATAAACAAGGTAATACATAATTTTCATACAAATTTCATGACCTTTTATGGTCATTACATTTCCACCCAAAATGGTACTCATAATTATATGTATGTTACAGTCACATCATTCTAAATGCACCCTATGTATACAAATTATATTTGTAAATCATACTGACCACAATCCAACAAAATACGATATTACATGCACTAGAAAAAAAAAATAAAAAAAAAAAACTAAATGGTATTTGGTTGCAATTTTATATTATAATTTATTAGAAATTTTCAATTTATTTGGCAAAAAAAAAAAAAATTCTCTTAACCTATAATTTATAATTTTTTTAGTTTATTTGAAATCATTAAATAATAAATACCTATCCACAAACGAGCTCCAATTCCTTTGTCTTAATTATAATTTTTTATGGTATCTTAAAAATTTGCACAACAAAACAACTTATTTGATCAAACAGATTCAGATTATTTTATAGATTATAGAAAGTTGAACCAAACAAATTAATAACTTATTTCAAACTTTTAAATAGTGTTTGGTTCATAAATTTAAGAATAGAAAGGAAAAGATTGTGTAAAATATAAATAAAATATAGTTATATTTCATTTACATTTCAAATATCTTTTCTTTTTCCCTTTCTAAATCTTTATCAACACAGCAATAAACTAATAATCTAAAAAATTAACTTTTTATGCTAAGTTTGAATCTCATTGTTGCATTGGTAAATTCCCTCTCTATTTCTCTCTCCTATAGATTAAATAAATAAATAAATGGAACTTTAAAAAAAGAAAAAAACTAGGGTTAACGTGTAGTCCAAATAAGACCAACCGATTTAGAATCAGAGTAGAATAACATGACAGGCCATTCTATGCTACGTCTCCGTCTTCTTTAATCGGCCATTGTAAACCTAAACACGGTAGCTACTGAACTAATATAACTTGCAATAAATCGACAAAAAACAGAAACAGAAAATGACAAGAAAGTTCACGCACAACAGCGATTCCAAAAACATGAAAACAAACAAAAATCGAAGAGAGAAAGAGAGAGACCTGTTGTTGGCGCTGCAGAATTGATAGAGCTTGCCGCGGCTGGAGAAGACAAGGAGAGCGACGTCGACGTCGCAGAGGACGGAGAGGTCGCGAGCTTTCTTGACCAATCCACCTCTCCTCTTCGAGAATGTCACTTGTCGACTACTCTTCGATTCGATTCGCTTCATTTCCACCTTCTTTCGCCCCATTCTCCTCTCTCTCTCTCTCAAAATGTTCGCTTCGCTCACAGTTATTAGCCCTAATTCTGAAATTCACAATTACTCCTACTACATGAGTGCGGATATATTAGTGGCGCAAATAGATAAGGGATAATTGAATCGACAAAAAAAATTATGAGGCTTTTTGAAAAAGCATCCCGTTCAGCTTTCCGTTTTTTATACTAGCAGCAGTAAAGTAAGAAGAAATTTGTTTTTTTGAGTTAGGCTCGAGATCCGAGTGAATTACCAAGGGTTTGTTTGGAGTGTTTTAAATAAATGCATTTTTTATCTTTTTGAATTAAAAAATTGAAGAGGAAAATATGGATATTTGGATTAATTTTTTGTTTTTTTATGAAAAAATGTGTAATAAAAAATTGTAAAAATTAGTTTGCAAGAGAAAATTAGAATTGGGAGTTGTGCAGCCGTAATTGTTGACTTTTGGTGAATACTGTTAATTTTTTAACTTTTTGAGTCACTTTTTGACTTTTTGACTTATTCTGGACTTGCCAAACTTGGCCTAAATATTTTATCAAAATTTTTTTTATATAGATGTAGGATTCATATAAATTATATGAGTGTGAGTTTAAGATATATGTGAAAGGTTTGATAAAATATTTAATAATTTATTTAGAATTTATAATATATATTTTTTTAAAATTAATAATAATGATAGAAAGTTTTAATTTTAAAATTTTAAAAAGAGTTTTAATAATGTGACAAGAGAAAAAAAAATATAAACACACACATCATATCACATGTAAATTCTATTCTTTGCCACAGTAGTAAAAAAAAATTTAAAATTCTAAAATTAAAACTCTCAATTTTTGTTTTTAAGTGGTATTTTAAGAAGTTGATAAAAAATTAATTTTTTGACTTTTTAACTTTTTTTTAATAATTTTTTTGACAAAAAATTATATTATTTTGACAAAAAATTAAATTATTTTGAATAAAAAAATTGACTTTTTTAATTAAAAAAAATCAAAAAACTGACTTTTTATCCGACTTCTCAAAGTGGTCCTAAATTAATGATATCAAGTTTTTAATAGACACGTGGCTTTCAGCAGTCGTCCTTCCTATCGGATAAGAGTACAAACAAAATTCTAATAAAAATTCAAAAATGATTTAGATCTCTAAAAGAAGAGTTCTAATGGAGCATTAATTTGTCTTTTTCTTTCTTTTTTTTTATCTTTTACTTCACTGTTTTTTTTTTTTTTTATTGGCTGACAGCTCATTAAAGCTGCCCTTTTGCAACTCTAATTAGAGCTCCGGAGCATGACCCATAAAAATTTAGTATATGTTGTGTTACTGTTTGCATCCTAAATTATTTTAGGGATTGATCTCTTTTAGTCTGTGATCGGATTAAAAGATACGATTAGATTTGTAGGAGTTTATTATGAGTCTCGTTTTGATAATTTAAATCGTTAATATATAAGACTCGTCGAGTATTATATGCTTATTAAAAATCACGTTAATCGAATATCGATAACTACGTGATTAAATTAGTTTTGTATAAAAAAAAATAGACAGTGAAAATATAAATAGTTGATAGAAATCTGATCAGATGAGATAGCTATCAATATTCGATCAACGTAATTTTTTATAAACATATAATACTTGATGAGTTCTACATATTGAATGGTTCGAATTATCGAAATAAGACCCGTGATGAGTCTCCATGGACCCAACAATACCCTTCAGTTAATTATAGACCAGAAGAAAACCCAGCTCATTACTTATCAATTGTATCAAAACCTATCGATTGTATTAATTATGTTTAGATTTTAAGGGGTTGTTTGGGATGACTTAAATAAGTGCACTTTTTATCTTTTTACGAAAAGATGTGCAGAAAAGTAGAAAGGTGATGTGATGAAAAAAGATAAAAAGATAAATTATTTGGGACTTCCCAAACTTGACCTTAAATTTTATGTACTTATTATTATTATTATTACTACGTAGGACATGTGATCACTAAGAGGTTAAGATGTGTTATGAAATAAGTTATGAAGATTGAAGACATAAGGATACATGACAATATAAGAGCATCTTTAATGACAAAAAATTTTATGTACTTATTATTATTATTATTATTACTACGTAGGACATGTGATCACTAAGAGGTTAAGATGTGTTATGAAATAAGTTATCACTACGCCAAAACAGGGCATTAACGGCGGTTTTTTTAGCGGCGGTAACGAAAATCGCCGTTAAAGGTACTATTAACGGCGGTAACGAAAACTGCCGTTAATACCGCCGTTAATGTATCATTAACGGCGGTTTCGTTACGCCGTTAAAAAACCGCCCCTAAAAGTGTCTTTAACGACGGTAATGAAACCCACTTTTAACGGCGGTAACGAAACCGCCGTTAATGCCCACTTTTAACGGCGGTAACAAAACCGCAGCTAATGCCCAATCATTACCGCCGTTAATGACGGCGGTCTTTGCCGGCAGAGCTTCGCAAAACTCCGGCGTGCTCCGGCGAAACTCCGGCGAGCTCCGGCGAAACCATCTACAATAAAGTACAAGTAATGTTTAAATATTTATTTAGGGAATATATTTCATGAAGAGTGGCTATGGCAGAGTGGTTGGTGTTGGTGGATGAGAGGTCTTGGGTTCAAAATTTAGGGAGTGCAAGAAGAAAGAATTATTTTTTGAAAAATTTGAACCTATTTACAGCGGTAAAAAACCGCGGTTTTTGGTCCTATATTACCGCCGTTTTTGATCGACTTTTAACGACGGTAATTTGCCTTTTTACGACGGTTTCACTTTTTCCCGACACACGCATAAACGACGGTAACGAAACCGCCGTTAAAGGCTTTAACGGCGGTTTTACAGCCTTTAACGGCGGTAAAAAACCGCCGCTAAAGCCCAATTTTGACGTAGTGTATGAAGATTGAAGACATAAGGATACATGGCAATATAAGAGCATCTTTAATGACAAATGTTATAAATAATATTTGTTATTAATATAATTTAGTAATGAATAGTAATAAATTGTCAAATTATAGTAATGGTATTCCAATGGTCATATGTTATTTTGACAAATCTCAACTAACTTCCCTATAATTTTGTGGGTGTTGTTTGGATATAGATTTTTTAGTGATTTTTCTATGTTTATTTTTTGTCTTTTGTGACTTTTTTCAAACTTTTTCTAAAATAATGAAATATTTACATTTTACTCGACTAGACAAATATAAAAAGTTTAAAAAATTGAAAAATTAAATACATTGAAAAATTGTTGTCTTCATTTCAATAAGTTTGTATTTTTTTCATAATAACAATGAAAAATTAAAATTATATTGAAAAATACATCAAATTGCAAAAGCAAAATTACATTGAAACAATGCATTACATTGGAACGATACATTACATTACAAAATAAAAATTATATTGAAACAAAAATACTAAAAATAACATTAGAAAATAAATGACATTGCAAAATGAAAAGTACATTCTTCCCCAATTATTCATCAGGAAGTAGGGGAAAATAGTAATTTGGATTGCTCACATGTACGAACTACTTTGAAAAAATCTCATTTTTGCACATTATGCAATAAGCTTTCAGTTGAGGGTCTATATTAGAAAGGTCTGCAATCATTATGGAATGTTCTTCCTTTTTCATCTCAAGTTCTTTCATCTCTTGCAATACTTGAATCATTTTACCTTCTCTTTCAACTCTTTTCATTTCCTTCTTAGTAAGGTGTTGATTAAATGTTTCTAACAAATTGTTAAATTTGTGGACTTCAATTTCAATGACTTGATTTTTCCGAAATAATTCTTTTGCAAATTTCCTACATATAGGCCTTTTACCTCTTGTAGAGACACTACCATCATCAATACTTGGATTGTTACCTTCAGTTGAACTATTATCGTCTTGAAGAGAAATACAATTATCTATAGGGGAATTGAGGATTGAATTGGTAAATGGTATACGTATCCTTGACTTGAATGTGTTCGTAGGAGTTACATCTTACCACCCGATATTGTTTTGCAACACTTGCCAACAATGTTCAAAAGCAAAATATTTTTTTTCATCTTCATGGTATAAAAGTTTTGCTTGAAGCATCTATGTGGATAAAATATTAAATTAATTAATTAGTTAATTTTTATACAACATGAAATAAAAAAACAAACATAATAAATGAAGATAAAATCTTACTATATCAACTTGAGACATTCCACTTGGGTATAGATTTTCGACTTGCGCTAAACACCCTCGAAATTTGCTGGAACATTTTATGATTATACCCCATCAAAATTGGATAGACACTTGTATTCTTAATTGATCATTCTGAAGTGAGCAATAATTTTCATAAATTTTCCTCCAAAAGTGAGCATGAGATTGCGAATTGCTAACAATTGGGTCTTTAGAAATGTGACACCAAACTTTACAAAGTGCCACATCTTCATTAATGGTAAATGATTTTTCTCTCTTTGTTTTTGATGAACCTTCCATAGTGATTGTGTGAAAAAACTATAAATAAAAATGTAATATTGGAGGTTTGTTGTGAAATGAAATTGAGAAAAAGAGAGGAGAAAAAGAAAAACATAATTTTAAGGCTTACTGTGAAATGAAATTGAGATTGAGAGTTTGTATTTATAGAAAAAAAAAACTGTTTTTTTTTTAAAAAAAATTTATATAGCCGTTAAAACATAAAAATATGACCATTTCTTTTTTATAGTCGTTGCCTCTTATATATATATATATATATATATATTTATCTTTTAGGAACAAAAAGAGTCGTTGTGCAATTTCAAGACACCATCCAAACCGTTGGATGATTTCTAATCCATAATCAAGATTTAGCCTCTAGAATCTTCGAGGTTGAAAATATCATACTGATGCCATCTTCATTTTCATTATCTCTCTCTCCCTCTCTCTCTAATTTCGACCCAGGGCTCTCTCTGTTTGTCTATCTGTCTCTTTCTCTCTCCATCTCCATCCCCATCCCTTTTTTTTTCATCACCACGAGCGCTAATGGTCTTTAAACCAGTCGACTCTATTTCTCTCTATGATTTCGATGACCACCTCCTTCATCTTGACCTTCTTCTTCTCCAACAACGATTGTCTCATCGACGTCTTCCATGGCGTCTCTATCGTCTGGGAACACATCGTTATCCACTCCCAAACCCACACTTTCTCCTAGTGCCCATTGCTGAAGGAGAAACGTGGTTTCA